TAATTGTGAATAATTCCCATGCGACTTCGATTTTGTGCTTATTTCAGAGGGGAAACAATATCCCTTGCGGAAAATATGGGGTTTTGCGTTGAACTTCATAAGGCATTTTTACCGGGTATACTTTGTTCAACTCAAGTGGGCTGAAAAGCAATGAGCAAAGATTTATAAGGTTCTTGAAGTTTTCCCATTGAATTCTACGGACGCAACTGTGTAATGAATGAAGTTATTTCATAATCTTTGATCACTACAAAGGTCATTTTAGTACTGAAACTGAAGCACAAAGAAAGCCAACTGAATGTTGTCAAAAAGCAAGTATTATTGATTGCGCGGTGAAATTTGTTATCAAATAGCACTTATGACTGCCTTTAGATGATCCTGTCAAAGACACAGGAATAATTGCGTTTTGATTCATAGTTAAGCGAACCTTTTAGTGTGAGATGTTCCGGCTGATCCTTGTAAGCTAAGAGATTCAAATATGCCACAGACTTTACTGTATATATAAAGCAAAGTTCAAGGTTTTTTTTCCTTCTGAATTGGCAATACCGTTCCATTTGTTCAAATTAAATCTCAGCGGCCTAAGCTCCAGCTGTGAGATGATCATCTCACAAAGAAGAGTCATGAAATTATAAAAGTTTATATGGGAATATCTACGACCTCTCTTAGGAATAAAAAAAATACAGTCAAATTCTCAATAAAAATGCCTAACCTTACTCCTACAATGCATCGCTTGTTATCTGACCGCTTACTATGTTGAAAAGAACCCATTTTTGCGAGTTATCCGTATCTATGTTTATTACATAAGAGAAGGGCTTCTGTATTTTTTTATTCCTAAAAGCGGTCGTAAATATTCCAATACAAACTCTAATAATTTCGCCAGGACTCTTATTTCGGAAAATGATCATCTCACAGCTGGAGCTTGGGCCGCCTGTGATTCAAGGAACAGCGTTGTAATTCATACCCGAAAAACGTGATCAAATTGGAAAGTTTTCCAGCAACTCTTTGGAGTTGTAGACAAAGAATCAAAAGGCTCATATCGTACGCTCCTTCTCTTCTTGCGTTCAGATCCAGATGTTTCCATTTATTTGACCTTTTGGTCTTTTTTGTATTAACTATTCTAACATAAATTTGGCTTTTAAACACCTAACTCCGCGAGACGCTTTCAAGTTAGCAATCGTTTGAAATATTCATCAGATTTAACTGAAACCCTGTGTATTACGATAGAAATTTAAAGGATTTAAAATAATTGATTTCCTAAACTAAAAATGGTTGTTGAGATTTTGAGCGGAGGTCTTCAATTTACCGCCAACTGTGAGCTTATTTGAGCACTCTGAGAAAAGCGGTCGAGGTCATAACATTGGTTGACATCAACTTCATTCTACTAAATTTGGGCTGGGGTTGCGAGAAAAAGAAAAAATTGACAGCAAAGAAAACTGCAAACTCTGGGGAAAACCCAATTTCTAAGCATTTGACGTAAAGCTCTGCATTTAACGGACTACATAGATATTTTATCCTGCTCTTTGAAACAGACAAAATATTTATATTTGTATTGGTTTTATAAAATAAATTGGAGTTGGCATTCACCTGGAAAATACACACGAAGAATATCAAATGTTTCCACCAAAGTACATGAACTGTCGCTTGTTTTCCAGTGTGAGGTGTTTTCCAGATTGTTTGCTGATGCTTGAAGTCAACTTATGAAGCATGGTTTGCAAGTTGCAGAGGTCGCGGAAACGCGGGGAGGGCTGGTGAGCTCAAGGCCTCTTTTAGTGCAGACGGTGACTCAGTCATCGTAGCATTGTAGCATGCAATCAGCTTGCTAAACTATTTCGTGACGTGATGCTATCAAAAATGGTTTTAACAAGATTGCACTGCAAACTGCTGATGAGCCAGTATTTCAGATTTATTTCAGATTTGTGATTAAGCAGTAAATTGATGTTTTTGCAAATTCCATCTTGAAAAAATCCGTTGTTACTATTCAGGCAAGTAATATTTCTCGCACAGGTCACTTAAAAGTTTTTTAACCACTTGTGATAGTACAAAAGCTGTCGATTTTACACGAAGATTTTCTTTCAAAATTGATTGAGAATTTCTGAAGAGGAAGGAAGTGGCACTAAACATAAATATGAAAGTATGAAGATTTTTAAGCGATAATTTTTATCCCTGGAAAGCGTATCTATTACATTTGCTAAAACCTTTAGTGGATAATTTTTTCTTCACTGTGATTATAATATTAGTGAATATAACATTTTCCCAATATTTTATAAGGAGATGTTACATTGGTAGTCAAATTTTCGTTCTAGGTTTGAACTTGTAAGTCCACGTGAAACAATCATCTCGAACAGTCATAACATTAGAATAAATGGTAAACCTAGATTTTATAATAATTATAATTGCGCAAACATTGTTCTTTTGAGCGACTTAAAATTTGGTCTGAGTAACACATAGTCCTTTAGCCCTGCAAAACAAAATGGTTTCAAAGATTCCAACTTTCTGACCTGGACTGGTGTTCGTTGCGCTGTATCAAGTCATCTGAGAATTCGAAGCCGCGAAGTTAATAAAGATCATGTCAGATTACTGCAACTTGAAATCGGTCACAAAACTTTTGATCCAGCGCTTAGCAAGTCTAGGGATTTCTACGATCTGCTTATATCCAGTAAGGCGACAGAGTCCAGAGGCTTCATAAAGTTGAAATCAAAATTTTCTGTGGTTGAGGTGGAAACAAAAAAGGCCTTCTCATTAATAAGGTCCTGTATTTGTGAAACATATGTGCAATGTTTACGGTTGAAAATACTGAATGACATTTTATTCACAAATCTCCGCTTAGCTAAGATAGGTTTAATACAAAGCGATCTTTGCACTTTTTGCAATGCTGGTGCGAAAGCAACTGATCATTTACTATTTTACCGTGTTTACTCACGTCCATTTTGGGAAAAATTTGTATCTTATTGGATCGCCATAGCCAAAGAACAAAGGAAACTCGAGTTAAAGACTATTCTAGTTGGTGTCACGGATACTAAATGTCCTCTGAATAACTACTTAATCGTTTTAGGTGAGCTACATTTATGGAACTGCCATAGGAATAATACCCTTCCTTCTTTCTCCTCCTACGAGGAACTAGTTAAAAGAAAATATGGAACTGAATGTCAAATTGCTGCTAAATATAATAATATGAAGATGCTTAGAGGCTAAGTAGACGCCCATTTTGAATTGCAATTTGCTAGGTACATAGGTGTGTAACCGAAAAACAAACCGGTTGTAAAAAGTAGAGTAAGAATTGTAGTCTAATGAGGTATTGTGTAGTAAGTAGTATAAGTAACGTATTGTAAGTGGTATTGTAAGTGGTGTCTGTCTAGCTTTGCAAGTAGTGTTTTTCGTGTTGCAAAAAAATATAAAAATATAAAAAAAAGTATGAAACCTTTTACGGTGCAGTTTGAGAGCTTAAGAGCAGACAACTTACATGTAAGTTTCCAGTTACAAGAAAACAATTCTGATGCAAATGATTATCTCTCGAAGAGAAAGACATTCGCAGATTTAGGGGAAATGCAGACACCCATGTCTGTATTTCTTCTAATTCGTGAGCTTAGTTAATTAATCGACTTTCTTAGTGTTTATTGGAAGATTATAAACCGCCAAGAATTTCTCAAAAAGAAAGGCCAGCGCTGGCTGACTATTGTTGAAATAATCCCGTTTTTTTATGCTTTACAGGCAAGTAATAATTTACTCGCACAGGTCACTTGAAAGTTTGCTAACCACTTGTAACAAATTTCCCCATAGATAAGCAGAACGTTGTTGCACGACAGCTTTCTCCCAAAATCTGTGAACGCCTCTAAAATTAGAATTTCAATCGCAACGATTTATCACAAAAAGGGGTTTCCCCTTTATTATGACTACCAGGTACACGTGGTGAGGGAATAGTTGTAATTGATGGGGTGAACCCGTCGGGGTAAAGGCCAACTGGCAAGGAATGAGTTTACGATGGGTCGATACCTCCAGAACCTAACCTCATTCTCAGACACCGCAGGTCGATCGCAGCCACTCTCTGTCTCTCTAACTCAACGGGAAAGGGAGAGAGAGAGTGGCCGTGATGGACCTGCACTGTCTGAGAAACAGTGTACCAGATACCCTGCAGGCCACAGTTTCAATGCTCTGTGTCGATTACAAAACATCCGAGAAAGCCACATCAGTATCAACATAATGAAAAAAACAAAGCTGACGTTCAAGACCAGGCTCTACATTTCATTGATAATTTAATAGGTTTCTTGGAATAAAAGCGCACAAAAAGCCGATGGGTGAAGAAATTAAAGTGAATCCGACATTGTTTACCAGGAAATCACAAACGAACGAGTCAGGATTTCATATGAGAATGACGTACGTTTATGGAGTGAAATCACTTTTTTTGAACTAAAGGCAAAAAAAAAAAAAATCAGAGAATCCTTAAGGAAAAGCTACGATTGTAGATCAAAGTGTTAAACAGTAATCTTGTTGAAACAAGAGAATGGTCGAGTCAACAAGGCCGTCTTAGGAACAACAATCGAATTCTCGATTCCACTCAGAAAGAAAACTATGCACGATATTCCTAAATTTGTTTTATTTTTCCTTACACAGAATGCTTTTATCTTCACAAAATCACCCTATGTTTTAAAGTGGCAATACACTCTGTAATATGTTACAAAAATACCTGACATAGACTCTGTAATAACAACACACAAGCACAAGTGACAAAACCAGCGTCCATAATTCGTGGCGAACCACACCCGATGAACGCCGACAAACAACGAGCTTAACTGTACCAAAGCCGTATAAGGGGCTTTTCTAAAACGAAAAAGCAAGTAAACAAAAAACGAACGGAAACACGAGACAAAAACACTACAGAGAAAATTACATAAAATACGTAGTGCCGTGCATTGTTCATCAGTTATGTAACCCTAAATAACAGATAATGATTTATTTCAATTTGGTCAAACGTCCGATGTGGTATAAACTTGTACCACAGTTACAGCGTCGGTAGTATTCCCCTGCTGTTGCTTTTTTTTTTTCACAGTAAATTTCAACATTACAAGTTACCAACAGAACGAGACGAGAATCACTCGTCCGGCTTCATCCATATCATGCAAGAAATTAGTAACGCAGCTACTTCTCCATTTAGTTTCGAAACAATGTCGCCGTTTAATGATGTTTCTATAGCCAATAATTTGTCATTGTTAATTTGAGCATAACATTAAGCGAGCATCAGCAAAAACAAGAAGAAAAAAAAAACTCACGAATAATTATAACACCAAACATAAATTTCATGCCATCGCTTACTAACACAAATTACGCTCGCAAAACTAAACAAAGATTTAGTTAAAGTTTTCTTTGCACAGAGATAACATGTTTTAAATAACAGAGGAGAACTGACTTAATAAAGACTTGAATCCGAGTATACAGGGGGAATGGGTGGCTGCCGACGTTAGGCTATCGACTCTTACTACTTTCCTTCCCAGCCGACTTGCTCCCTGAATATGTCTGCTGGTATCCGTAAGTGGTGGGAGTCTGGGCTTGAGTTTGATCTTGATGCTGTTGATAGTAGCCATATTGCGGAAATTGTTGGTATCCCTGTTGAGTTGGCGTTTGTTGTGTGGGGGTTTGCTGTGTCGGCGTTGACTGATGCTGCGATGACCGTTGTTTCTTCTGACGCTGTATGTGCTGGGCTGCGGCTGCACCCCACTGCGCAGGCGTGAGCTGTGTGGGGGTCTTTTTCTGAGAGTCTTGTTGTTGCCTGGCGACAGCCGCCAGCGCAGAGTAAACCTTAGGGTCGTTGATTCCCCTGGGGAAGTGCTGCTGAAGCTGAGGTAACAGTCGAGCGGGATCCACATCAGAATTAATGGAGGGAGTACCTCCTGGGGTGTAAGGAGTATTGCCTTCGGACATGGTGACTGGCATTCTGTGCCGGGGAGTACCTGCAACAAAGAATTAACTGCTTAGACACACAAGCATGATATAACCTCAGGGGCGGCAGGCGATAACAAAGCAATTTTAAATCAATTGTCGAAAGTACTCAAGGATTGCTTTGCTTTGCTCTACTTGGCAATTAAATTGACCTGAAAAGATTCCTCAACGTAACTTCCTTAACAAATTCCACTCACAACTTGGTCACTACGTTTTCCCGCGCCACACACAGTGTGCTCGCTTTTAGTCTGAGTTATCTTTATTTCGGTTCGAAATACAAGAGAGACGAGCAGGCAGGCAAACATGAGACAGAAAGACAGACAAGCGGACAGACAGGTAGACAGACAGCTACAGACGGACGGATAGATAGACAGACAGACATACGGAAAACAGATAGACGGATGGAAAGACAGATAGATAGACAGCCAGACAGACGGAAAGACAGAGGCAGATGGACAGGCAGACAGACAGACAGATAGAATGGCCGGCAAGCGGGCACTTACCAGGTATGGGGTCCCTGAAGTGCTCTTTGAACCATCTAAACAAGCCATTCAACGTGGCGTGAACTCTTCCTCGGTACCTGAAACCGTCGGGGGTGACACTGATATACTCTATCCGTGGCTTAACACGAGGAAGATACCCCAAGAAGAACTTCCCAGGGAACTCCTTGGTTGTACTCATAAGGTAGGGGATCCTTTGTGGAGCCTTCCGTTTCTCCACTTGCAGAATTTCTTCCAGTTTTGCCTTTACTCCGTCCACCGCTCTGTAGTTCTTGTGATTAAGAATCTCTCTCGCAAATGAAGCCATCGGCTGAACATGCCGTGCAATGATCTCGTCCAGATCTTCAAATTCCTATCATGTCGAGAAAGTTCACTTTCTTATAATGGATTTAGTCTCAGAGTTGACCTGCATTACTAGCACTGCAGCAGGAACGCTTCTTAGCCCACGGGAAGATTTGAAACGAGTCGGGGAAAGCTTTGCCAGGGGTCTGGTACTAACATTCATTAGCTAGGATTTCTCAAGGCCTCGTACTTATTCGCGGGCGAAGACACGCTCGTCCTGAAGCGCGACTAATAAAGGCCTGCTCGCAAGCAGATATCACCAACCAATTTTCGAACAGATCTATAGTTTCTTTGAAAAGGTCCTCGGCTACTTAATTTTTGGACGAATCTACTTAAGTTAATGTTGCGTTTAACCTACAGCACATTCTACGTAGAAGAACTCATGCAAAGTGGAAAGCTTACTCCTAACACAAAAGCTGTATAACTCTGCTGCAAAAACGTCTTGCAGAATTATGGTGAATTCTGAAAAGGTTTGACACAACAACTTTCAGTGTCTCTTTACGCCTCACGACCAAAGATGTTTGATCTCAATCAAAAACATATCCAAACATTATAAACAAAAGCACAATTTAATTCACCTTCATGTGCCAAACACACTCTGAAATTTCATCTCTATTTGTTCAAATTAGGAATGTCGAGCAAATTGACGTCTTCGCATACGTACCTCGCTGTCGATCCACAATGAACGACCAAGACTGAACGCATTTTCTTTTCCTTCCTCGCGCACATCAACATGCTGATAAACTCCTTCGTCGACCTTCCACGTGACAGTCAAGTGATCAGCACCCTGAGGGAAGCCAGTAGAACACTTTTAACTAAATTCACATGGAACAACGTACGTTTTTGTCAACTCTCGTACATTTTTGTCTACCTCAAACTTCAAGTTTCAAGTTTTTGCTTTAGGTAAAACAATACACAAAATTAATTAATATCCTCGCTCAAAATTTTCGCGTATTGAACTAAACTCATCTGATCACCGCAAATACCAAAAAGAATTCTTCGTTTTTCTATAAATATCTCCCCTCATTTAATGGGTGTTGTTTTCTCGACTTGGGTTGTGAGAAATCTTCCACTAGATACCCAAAGTATACTGGGACTGTATGAGTTTTATTAATTAGTTTTGCTACACTTCCCTCTGTACTTGGCTTTTGAAAACTTCTGCCACCTTCTCGACCAATGAGATGTTAAACTAAACTAAATCCCGACATAGTCACCAGATTATTCCCGCGCTTGAAGCCGGCGACACATGTTTGCTACGAGTTCTCATTAGCTAATCCTGCTTTTTTTGGTTTTGTTTTGTTGATTCTTTGTTCATGTCGGCCGTTCTATTACTGGAGATTTGGTTTAAAGACACTTATTCGCTAGGGTATCTATGACAGTCAGGGCCTGTTTACATGGGGATAAAGGACCCCATGAAAGTGGGAAAACCCGCCTGTCCTTTTAATCTCTTATTTTATCTTATCACGTTTACGTAATAGGTGGGGTAAACCAACTAGGCGGGTTGCTTAGTCTGCCAGGTAGGGTAATCCGTCAGCCGGGGTCGCAATTTGCCATGTAAACGTCTCCAGGTGGAGTAACCCGCCTATGTGCAAGCGTGCGAAAAACCTCACCCCGGAATCCCGAGGTCGTAGGATTGTATGTAAACGCAGATTATTTTTTGACCACGGCAAGGTGGATTGCCTCACCAACCAAGGGTTTCCCACCTCCATGTAAAGGGTGAAGAGGCCCTCAAACACATAACTGCTGGGTCACTCACCTTACTGCTGGGTCTCACAATACACTCCCCCTGATCCATATCGGCTAACAGCCTCTCAGCTTCCTTGAATGAGATGTTTTTAAATGCTGGATGTACAATCACACGTTTGACGTATTCTGAAATTTAACACAAGAGAAAAATCCACCCTCACTGACTAGACAACTACAAAAGTTGACCTTCTTTTGCCGACTTCTTTTGTGTTTGTATCTAGAGCTCATAATTCCATTTCCTAACCTTGCTACACAATAGTTTTGGGCTAAATGTTGGTAAGTGTTCAAGAATGAAGCTATGATGCACAAAAAAGTATCTTGTGCACCTGTTAAAAGACGGTCTGTAACAAAAGTTGTAAGCCTAAGCTTTCTACCTCCACCTTCACCTGGGCACAACACCGCGCCGGTCTTCCAATTTCTCAAAATTCCACTATTTTACTCGAACATTTGTAACATGCGCAGACGCTTTTCAGCTTTTTTCCTTGAGGGAAGTTTAAAGTTTTTAGCTTTTTTACCCTTTACGGTGGCTAATTTACGTTTTCAACCCAGTTGTTAACACTAAATTACCTGCTATACTCTCCCACCGACGCAGCACCACAGTTTCTTTAGAAACTCACCCCTTTATTCAAGTTTAAAGTAAGCCTTGACCTCGTATGCTCGACACAGTTTTCCAAACATACATTACGCAGGGCATTTCGGTCGATATTTTAAAGAGGGTTTCGTTGATTGTGTATGTACATCTATATGGGCGATTAGAGAGCCTGAACAGAACTCACTTGGCCTGTTCGCTTTCTTTTTGGCCGCTTCCTCGTCCTTCCTATCTTTATCTGCTGTGTCTTGATCGTAATACAAATCTTTTGGAAGACTGCAAGAACAGATCAAACAACCATGATTTGGACTTGGAACAGGCAAAGAAAGAATACAGAGATTCGCCCGCGCGAATTTAATCAATGTTAAGACAAGAACATCAGATATATTCGATCTATTCATACAACGAGGTACGAAGTCTGTGTCTTTTGCAGGTCTTTGTTAAAGCTGCCTCATGAGCAGACTTTGGGCACAGCCTTGGCAAGAATATAAGTGATTGTCAGGGCTTTCACTGACCTGAACTTTCCTTCTTTATCTGCGAGATCTGACGAGCGACACGTGAGGTCCAATTGAAATCTCTCCATGTTGACACGAGTCACACGACAGTGGAGGGTCATCCCAACCTAACAGTAAGCACGTAAAATCATCTGGAATTGGTATGGAACTGACCCCAGTTGTTCGAAGGTCGGATAACGCTATCTACTAAATAAATCTCTATCCGGTGGACAATGCTGTACATTTTGCTATTACCTATCCACTGGATAGCGATTTATCCGTTGGAGAGCGTTATTCGCCCTTCATATAACTGGGTCTTGATATTTTCTTGTTACTTTAAGGGCTTTAATTTGAGCAACAGAGCTATAAACAATCGAAAAACAGTAGGAAAAGTGGGCATTACCTTGACTCTGTCGTGAGGACTGCTAATGGTCTTATCACTTATCATCTTGGTAGGAAGGAATCCAGATAAGCCATTTTCCAGTCTGGTGCGAACACCAATGGCCTGCCCGGCACAACTGCCATTATCAAGGTGGGTCCAAACCTAAAAGAATAGCGGTACTGAATTTGCGTAGAAATTCACTGTTAAGATGTTTCCAAATTATCACTTTAGTTGACTCCTCTTTGTAGTTCTGCTTTCAATCTACCCTTTCACTACCATGAATGACCATGCTCAGATAACTAACGCTGCACCCTCACCTCGCTGAGATCAGGGAACGCATCTTGTAAACAGAACGGGCACTGCCACTGACCAGTCTCATCATTTCTAACAGGCTGGGCCTGATCGATCATATCACGGGGAGGTTTCCTATTCGCAAAACCAGTTACGGTGCACACCACCATCTTGCCGACGTACAAAGACTCGCTGGTCTCACCCGTCATCAGTCGGAAGCTTTCCTCCACCGTCAGAGATCGGTAAGGAGAGCGACGCTCACGGTACTGTCCGAATAGCTCATCTCTTATGTCGTACAGTGTAATGCGCTTGTTTCCGTAACCTTGCCGCTCCAGTTCTTCCGCGAACGCATCCAAATCCAAGTCTTTTAATCTGTCAGGGGCTTCCAGAATCTCTTCCAAGGCCGACGACGGGTTCGACTCCATCGTTGCCTCGTCGTACTCGAGTGCATCGACGGCCATTTTCTTGGCCCACTCGTAAGTTTCCGGATGAACTCGTGAACCGTCGAGAACCTCAATATAGTTCGTGGTTGTGTCGCTAATGGCCGCAGTATCAATCTTAATAAAACCTGCGCAGTTGAGAAACACCTGAGGAGCCAGGCCACACACGGTCACAAGCTGAGAGCGGTTCTCGAGTCGGGTGCACTGCTGACGTAGACTCTGAAAAAGTAAGTTATATAATTTCATTGCCATTGTTCTTCCATCATAACAGGAGCAACGTGATCCGTTTTAATCTATCCAATCGTTCACCATCCTTGTTCCCTCTTTGTTTATCATTGCATCTTTTGTGTTTTTCTACCTTACAAAACTAATATTGTGAACTCTCTTTCAAATCGAAGTAAGTTTTCCATGTCGCAAACTGTGGCTCAGAAAAAACTTCTTTTGGGAATTTCCTCAGGAGCCTTAGCACTTCACCCTGACTTCTCACAAGTAAAATGAATAAGACGTTCACCAGGTAAGAGAATTTATTGTATTTTCTGCGCTAAAATCTCTTACCGATTGTTAAAATTACCTTTAGTAAGGAAGACGCTTTCCTAGGTCCCAGTCCACACACAAACTGTAGCAGCGACACTGTATGGGGATGCTCCAACAAGCGATTGGGGTCAACCCCTACTTCATTTACAACCGTCACGAATTCCTGATGAAGACTCTTTACAAGCTGCTCTTTCGGTACTTGGTCCTGAAACGTAACGAAATTTGGCTGATGAATAAAGGGGGTTAGTTTCCTTAAGAAGCTGTGGTGCTGCGTCGGTGGGAGAGTTTTAACAAGGTCATTCGGTATCATCAACTGAGTTAAAGAATAACGTAAATTGGCCACCGTTAACAGTCTTGAAGCTGACGATTCGAGCGTTAGCCCTTCGCTCTGACGAGTGTTAGCCCTTAACTCTGACGAAGGGCTAACGCTCGAAAAGTCAGCTTTGAAACTCTTAACGGTGGTCGGAAACCCGGTGGCCAATTAACGTTATCAACTCAGTTGATAATACCAAATTACCTTGTTGAAATTTGCCTTACTGATCACCATCACCATCACCATATTATTTATATTATTATACTATGGTTGCAAAATGACAACTTTACCTGGTACGGATGCAGCCGTAAACAGAGCAGTTCATCTTCCTCCACACACAACGCAGCAAACTCTGTCAACGGGTCCTGAATCCTGCGCCCCAGAGACACTGCGTGACGCAGGAGGGCTGGGTACTCACGGAACTCATTCTGAAACAACAGTAACATCAATAAGAACACGAGAGGTAAGACCAAGGACTTATCTAACGGAGGTAATGTGGTGTATATGCCCACACCCCACACCCCACACCCCCTCCCCCGGTCAAGAAAAAAACAAGAAATCATACTGAAACAACCTAGCCAGCAGTGCGGGCGTCTTATTAAGTGGAGTTCACGTTGAGAAGCTCGCGATCCGGTCATGTTTGATTTGGAGATAGAGGCTGCGGGTAAAGGCGAAAATACAATATAATAGGAAGATAATATTCCCATATTCTTTTCTTTTGATTGGCTGATGTGTTTAGTGTGAGTTATTTCACTTTTTATTTCCGTCAAACATACCTCCGCTCGAGGCGAAGACATAAACACGCGGGCCACTTCACCATCCAGAGCTTCAACAGAGATGGTCGGTATTTGGTTCTCCTGCTCCAGCTCTGCTATGCACATTTTGATATCATCTATCACCGATACAGTCGCGCGAAATTCTGCGGCAACAACTACAACCTGAGGGCGCTTCTTGAGGATAAACTGCTTTAATCTTTGCATATCCTTTTCCTGTTGAGATAAAAAAGGAATCAGATAAGACAGCCACACCATTCAAACCAAGGAGAAACACTATTAGGATAAAAAGAGAGGACATTTAATGCTAAGAAGCAGGAATTCATCGACACAACCAAATAATGAGGGTAAAAAAGGCTGGCTGCCATTAACACTTCGCTTGTTGTGTTCAAGTTACAAATTCACATTACAAAGGCTTTTTGTCTTTCTTTTCCCTCTAATTTTAGTGATTACTTAAAACAAGTGTTTAAAATCTTATTAGCTGTTTTGTTTCAGTGATGCATTCTTAATCAGCGATTGCCGAGAAGAGGGTGCAATTCAGGGCTAAAAAAGGCGCGGCTCGAGAATAAATCGCTTTGTTACGGGCAAATTGGATTGCAAGGATTACCAGTGATTTCAAAAAGTATACAGGGACTAAAAGTGAAGAACTTGAAAAGTTTTTAGTTTAGTTTCTAGAGATGCGTAAAATTGTAGAAGAAAGCATAAAATAAAGGATTATAATGCTTCAACCCTTTAACTCCCATCAGTGACCAAGACAGAATTTCTCCTCACAATATCAATACAATATCAACCAGATAAGCGATGAGAATAAAGAAAAATATCAATTTCGGGATAATTAGTTGGTCCAATAATAAATTCTTTGAACTAACATTATAAGAATTGTATGGTTGTCAGTAAGGAGAATTACAAATTTGATCTAAGATTTAACAGGTAAAGAACTACATAAAATGCCACAAACCTTGTCTTCTCGTTCCTTAGGTCGGTTTGTATTCCGTCTGTTCAGCAGGTACTTCAGTCTGAGGTAATCATTGACCTGGCCGCCTCCGTCCAGCATGGCCAAGAAGGCCGGTGTATCTGGACTGTTGGAGAAGGAACACGCCAGCACCCGGAGACCTTCAGTATTAGAGCTGTCATCATAATCCCTTTCGTCTATATGCTGCTCGGGTTGGTATGGAGCAACTTCAATCCATGACCTCAGCCGCCGGCAGCATGACTGTGGACGTAGCATGATACACATAAGACTAAACGCAGTTTACAGCAAAACAAAGTAAGTTAAAATAACGCTAGATGCAATTTAGGGGAGATTAATACCCAGTCTACGCAGCAGTTTCACCGATAAGGAGCGGGGGACCCAAGGTAAGTTGCAGGGGCACTGCCGCGTCCTTTCGCTTAGTTTTCTTAGCTTGCTTTGGATATACACATGTACAGTTGCAGCGAAGATTCCTAAAAGAACTGTGGTGATGCACATCTCATCGCTTACATCGCTCTCTCTATGCTTGATTGCATAAGAGATTAAATGGTGCAATCCTCTAACTACGTTTCCAGAAAGTGATTTACGGATGTAATTACAAAAACACTTGACTTTTCCCCAAATGCCGGTAGGATCCTTGTGTAAAACTCCCATCCCAGCCCCACCCCTCCTCTCTTCCCCTCCCCCTTCCCCCTCCCAATTCTTGCCTTAAAGCTTGCAAAGGCGGAGGGCCATTAACAATGTCAAAAAGAAATGTAACATGTGTCAGCGGCAAGTCAAATTATTGCTCCAGCAGCAAGCCGTTTACCCGACAGTGATCTGACCTTGATAACAAAATTCTTGGCTTCCTGAAGGAGCTTGAGTTTTAGTTCTTTTTCAAAGAGTGGATATAGCATCTGATTAAAGGCTCGTGACAACGCATTTGTTCTCTGTGTGTTCCACTCCTGCACTAGATGGCTAAATTCATCCTACAAAAAAAAAAAAAGATGGAAAGATATTTTCACAGTGGTTGCCTAGACTACGTTCCAATTAGAAGTGGCTTACACAAGACAGCTCATCCAAAGTCAACTAAACGTGTTGTTTCACCATAAAGCCAGTTCACCATATTCGGGCAAGAACGCAACAAAACATGAGCCAGCAAGACAATGTCATGCTAGACAAGATACTGACGGATCACGCAGCAATAATATGACTAGAACAAACAATCAAAACTTTAACTTGCTCCCGTCCTTTTGTCAGTTGATCTAATACCAAACTCTCTGAACTAACATAATACGAATTGTATGGCAGACAGTAAGGAGAATTACTAATGAGATCTTGGGAGTGAGAGGGTAACATGAGAACTAATTCTCGCTCTCTTTTTATTTTGGTCACAAAAGGGCACCAAATTGATTTTATTCGTGTTGTTTTCGTCTTTAACTTGCGTCTTATGCGGTTGATGCAATTATCAAATAATGCAGGATGTATTGTAACAATTATGCGCAATTTTAGTTGGCTATCAAAAAACAGTTGAAGGATAAGTCTTTTAAAGGGATATATTTCTTGATAGGGCAAAAATATTTCCGAGTCCCCATGAAGAACTCAGATTCCTCAAGGGGGAGCGCTCAAGTGTTCCAAATAAAAAAACAAACAAACAAGCAAACTCACCCTGTAATACAACTGCTTCACTTCATCAAAATAGGTTTGGTATCTGAAGTTACAAAAAAAAAACATGAGGACCTAGAAAAACTTAAATACAGAAAACCACTTTGTCAATCAAAATAATTTGTTGGGTACCCTGCGTTTTTGTCCAGGTCGATTTCAATGTTTATTATAAGAAGTCCATCCTCCTCAGCTTTACACATTCGTAGAAACTGATCTCCTTTCAGCTCCTTGACCGGCTTGTTTTTTATGTATTTGAATGTGCTGCAGAGATGAGACTCGTCGATCTCCTGCAAGAAAACAGTTAAGGCAACAATGTTAAACATTGAAAGGATTATTTCGTTTGTCTGCATTTTTTAACAAGGGCCTTTAACTTCAAAATCATCAAAATATGAAAAAAATTTCACTACCTTCTTTCCTTTCTTGGTGGGCCTGATCTTGAGTTTGGCTCTTTCGTAGAATGTCTGCCTTACACATTGCCGAACAAGAGGATCCCGTGCAATTTGCATTGCCACCATATGCCGAGCAGCCTCTAAGACTTGATCAACAGTTGAAAATGTACTGAAAGAAACCAAAATTCAAAAAGCTATATTTCATAGCACTTTACGCAAACCAAGACATGTCCAAAAGAAATTTTCAATTATCGTTTATCATAAAAACAATACTGATTACTTTAGTTTGGTCGATTTCAACTGAACTAGAAAACCTACACTGTACGCCACTCACCTGACCAGTCACATGCAAAAATGCTAAAATCAAACACGAGTTTTCCACAAGTGTTTCTTGTATTTCAGGAAGTTAACTTAGTTTTCCTTTAATTTAAACTAAGTTAGTTAGTAACTTTAACTCATCCTTTGTGATTGGCTGCTGTAACAACTTTCGTTGGTGTTGGTTTTTAAAACAATCAAAATACACTGTGCCCTTGTGACGAGAGAAGTAGCAAGTTTGAATGATGGTACAAATTGAAAGTAAACTTAAAATTTTCCCACCAATTGACATTGTCCACTTTTTCAATGTAAAATGTTACAAGTATTAGAGGATTCTCCCAAAATAATTTTCCTATTTTTTAACTACACAGGAATTCTTTCGGAGAGTCATTACATAGTTTGTACATCTTGAAATGTTAAGACTTCATTTTCTTTCATACAAACTACCAACCGTTTTAACTCCCAAGATCTGATTGTTAATTCTCCCCTCTAGCTGCTACATGTGTCCTTGTAAAGTTCATGTGGTTACAAGAATTTTGTGTAAAATCAAGACAACAACTTCTACCTGATAAGTTTCAGTATTCTCAACACCTGTCTGCTGGATAATTTAAGGATATTAAAGGGAGAACTTACATGTTTATCACTTCCAGGAGTTAATGAGTTAATCTTCTCTATCTGTATCTCCTTCTTCTTCCTTCTTGGTTTCTCAGTGTCTCGTTACCACTAATTTTTATAAGCATGGGGCTACACTGCGTGCACTTCGCGCTCTGCAAGCTCTGCTATAAATACAACACTCCACATACCTACTGAGGTAATTCTCAGCTGCATCATCTGGTTCAACAGGATGCTGTTCTGTCTCATGGCGCTGGTAGTTGTCTCGCAAGTTCTCTCCCAACTGATCTGGTGTCAAACCAAACTTCCTTGCCAAACCACTAACACCTTAAAAAATAAAAGAAGTGTAACATTGAAGGAGATAGATTGAAGGTTCATTGCACAAAATAAACAACACAATGTAGCTAATAATCAATGAAAAACAATGAAAATATGAAGACAACAATATTGTCTGCACCAACAAGCAGTGACCATTTTGGTTGCCACCACCAGTATAAGAACTCTTAACTCTTTACACCCTAACATCAACATGCATATTCTCCATACTGTTCTCTGTACATTTCTATGGGTTCTGACAGAAAATTTTCTCAAACAGTCAAGAGCTTCTTTTGTATGTGATTTTTAGCAATTTTCTTGCTTGGATTTGTGGCCTGCACCCTTTGTGCTTGGGTCATAAATCCAAGCAGAAAACCTTATCTTACTGTAGAGACTTGAACTTAGTGCAAGGTATTTATTTATCAGTAGTGATAATTTTTATTCATGCTTTCACCTGCTTGTTTACATATGGTATAGAGATCGCGTTTAGCAGGCATTTTCTTCTTTGGCAGTGTGGTTTTTGATTCTCCTTCACCATCTTTACCCTCTTCAGATTCTTTCTTTTTCCTCTTAGCCTCCCACATGGCTGGGATGTCATTTTTGTAGTATAACATAAAATGGCTGTACACATCCTTCAGCTGTTCCATAGTTTCAACTCCATCAAGTCTACAAAACACAAAGCTCATCCATGTCAACACTCCTAAGTTACCATGCATTCAAGAAGGAGGGTGGCAAAAGATTTACACCTGATGTGCGATTAAACCCAAAATGAATATGCAATTTGTGGATTTTACAGAAAGGCAAGGTTACACGAGATTTGAAATTTTTCCTCTTTAGATTTGCAATGCGTGAAGTACTGCTAAAAGTACAAGTCACCCATGAATTTGTCCAAAATTTGTGGGTGAAAAACAATTGAGAACCCCTCTCTGCTAACCTCTTAACCCTTTAACTCCCTGATCAAATTTGCAATTCTCCTTACTGTCAACCATACAATTCTTATAATGTTAGTTCTGAGAATTTAGTATTGGATTAACTAATTATTCCCAAATTGATATTTTTCTTTATTCTCATCACTTATCTGGTTGATATTGTATTGATATTGTTAGGAGAAATTCTATCTTAGTCACTTATGGGAGTTCAAGGGTTAAGCTAATGACAAGGAATCATGGGCCACTACAGGAGAGAATTTTCCACTCAGATCTTTGCAGTTTGAGTAGAAGGAGGTTCAGGAGGTTTGAGTTAGAAAGAGGTTAAACTACCAAAAAGCACTTCAAGCTGCAATCACTTTGGTCAGTGTATCCACTGGAAAACATTTTGGTGACTAAATTTGCCGCAAAAGTTGCCAATTTGGTAACCAGTGTTCTAAGATTATACAGCAAACTGTAAGTTTTTATTATTACTTAATTTGTTTAAAATGGTCTAAAAATATGACAAAAAAACAATGATACATAATTTTTGCACAACAAGTCCTTTTTTGTCTCTGACAAAAGTAGAGCTTGTAGCCCCATTGAGGGTGAAAAATTTAAGTGTATGTATGAAAAAAAATTCAAAGGAAATTGTTTCTATTTCAAGTTGGTGCAAGGTTCAAGTTAACAGGAGTCAACTGTATTACTATTATTATCACTAACCTTACTATTAATACCTTATTGTCACCATTATTATTATTTACAATCACTAACGTTTTCTTCATTACCATCGTTAACCCTTTAAACCCTAAGAGTGACAAACATCTGATTTCTCCCTACAATATCTCTCCTGAATTGCACATTAAGGTCACGAGAATTACGGAAATAGTCACCAGGGAAGGAACCTTCTGATTGGCAAACAAATTCTCCTTATCAACTTCCAAGGAAATGTATAAAGAACAGTATGGAGAATATGCATGCTGATGTTGGGGTGTAAAGGGTTAAAAGAATGCTATCACATGTACCTGTCAACATCTTCGGGTTGTAAGATCCTTGTATCGTCATCAAGTGGTTCATCGCCACTCTCCTGGATTTTGTTGAATTGGTAATTCTGCATTTCTTCAAACAGACGATGGAGGTTTTCCTTGCGAGTACGCAGCTGGCTCCACTAACAATAAACAGAGTAACATCAACAAAATATAGATGTAGGAATAATTATGATATCATATTATGATCATCATTCACAGTTAAAAATAAATGTGTCTAAGTACCACACAGGAGAAAAAAAAAACGACAAAAGAGGAAACCAGAGGTGTAGTTTTGAAAAAGTAGAGAAGCCAATTTTTATCAACCCTTTGACCCTTGTGAGTAACTAGCATCTAATTTCTCCTTACAACATCACTGCTGAATCACACATTAAGGTCATGAGAATAAAGGAAATGATCACCAACTGAAGAAGCTCTTGATTGTTAAAGAAATTCTCCTTGTCAGCAAGATAGGAAATGTATAGAGAACAGTTTAGAGAATATGCATGTTGATGTTAGGGTGTGACAGGTTAACTGAGTTGCAGTAGCAACAGTGTTGCATACGCTGTTGAGTAGTTTTTGGAAAATCATTGTTGCTGTGACAAAAATTTGTTTCGAAAAAAGTCACAAAATTTTTAACTGGTATCAATGGCTTGTGGAACTTTCTTGGAAGTAATACTCATGGTGAAATTTAACCCAGAGACCTGTTCCCCATGTCCAAATGTAAATACCTTTTCATCATATTCCCAAATCTTCCACAGGTCTTCGATATTCAGTTCAGGCTCAATGTATTCTTTTCTGTAGCTTGCTATAAAAGGAACCTGAAACAACAATCAACAGAAGTGATTAATGTGTAACTTCTCTCTACAATATCCCTACATTCTCCAACAAACAGGTGATGAGAAAATTCAAAATTTGTCATAAAATCAGTTACCTCATATAGATGGTTCCTCATCAGGTTTAATGCCTCTCTAATCTTAGCAACAGCACTGTATGGTTTAGGTGTTTTAGCATGAGAGTGGGCATCACCATCCAGAGGATCCTAAAAGATATAGTGATCATGCTTTACTTGACATTACTGTATTTACCCAAAGTAAAAAACCAATATTAAAAGAGTTGAAACGTTCTCCTAATATAATATTTCCCCTTTTTCTTGATCTTCTCCTCCACATTTCTCAGGGGCATTTCAGATATATGTTCTTAACCCTTTAACTCTCATGAATGACCAAGAAAGAATTTCTCCTTACGATATCAATACAATATCAACTAGATAAGTGATGAGAGTAAAGAAAAATATCAATTTGGAGATAATTAGTTGATCCAATACTAAATTCTCTGAACTAACATTATAAGAATTGTATGGTTGACAGTAAGGAGAATTAAAAATTAGATCTGGGAGTTAAAGGGTTTTAAAAAAAAGTCAATGTTCAGCACACTTTGCATTTTTAGGATGGTGTTTGTAGTTACCTTCTCTGCAATTTAGAGACTGAGGGTTTATCACAAAATCTAGAGGTTTCCTGAAATTACAGTTCCAAATTCAAACCTGTTGCTGAGATATAGGCAGATCCAGGAAAGCATGTTTATAAATCCAATCTGCTTCATCATCCAGCTCCCCATCCTCTGTCGACTTCACAGCAAAATCACGTACCTGAGCAGAAAGGGACCCACAAAAAGTTAGTGACCATCACACTCAACAAAATGAAAACACATGTCAAAAAAAGAGTTATCCAAATACATCCTTCCTTTCTGTTATTTTACCTGAAATCTTTCAGGCACATCTGCAGTTCTGATTTCATTGTCTTTGTTGGTCAACATTCCTTTTTCAAGCTCACTAGGTTCAAACACCTACAAAAAAAGACATCAACATTTTTTTCATCCCTTAGTTTTTTAAAGAATTGGGTTTTACTTACTGAGTTACTAATACAAATCTACCACTGTAAAGGGTTTCTAAAGCTGACATTTTTAACATTAGCCATGCAACAGAGCACTGACAAATGCTGAAAACCTCAGGACCTGAGAAGAACTAAAAAAAAAATAGAAAAAAAAAACTGATCTCTGATGATAACTTCCCTTTAAGATGTCCAAACATCATTTATTATTACCAACAACAGACCTTATGAGGACAACTCTTCCAACACAGTAAGACTGCACAATCAAATGTTACTCTTGGGTCCAAACCATGTACTTCAGTTTTCCCAAACACAACCTAGCCAAGCAATTGAGTCGCTCACCTCGTAAATAGACTTCTTCGTTGATTTCTTTTTTGGCCTTCTTGGTGCACCATCCTCAGTGTCATCTTCATAATCTTCTTCTTCTTCTTCAGACGAGAAGTCATCCCTTCCGTATTTCTCAAATTCATCAAAGTCAAAGTCAAGACCAAAAATATCTTGTGCCTCCATCAAAGCACTGTAAAAGAAAAAAAAAAAAGATTTAATAACATCAATGAGCTCAGAGTGATAGCAATAGAAATGAAAATTATTAATAATCAGTTTATCTTGTGTAATCTTTATATTTAGTTTCTCTGTTGCTCATGATCTTGCATTATCACATCTAAAAAATGCAAATAAATATATTTTTCAAAACTTTCTCACCCCTAACTGCTGACAAAATAATTTTGGCCAACAGTGAATACCTTTAAATCAGATGGTAGCACTTGGATACATCAACATTTTCAAAATACTTACGAATCTTGTAATGTTCCAGGAATTCTTCTCTTTTTCTTAGTATGCCTGTTAATAGGATTCCCTTCATCATCCACAATAAAATCATCCACATCTAAGATTTGAAATAAAACAATGGGTTTTGTTAACAATATTTTAACAAGATAAATAATGGGTCCTTGTGGAACCATAAATCTGTTGTTATGATTTGAAAATATTGTTCTGCTCACAAATACAACTCATGCAACATACGACAATGTTCAGGGTGACTGTCTATTGTCCAAGTTTCAGTTAAAGACCACCTTGATTACATGCATTTGGGTCAATGCCATGTGAATTCCTCTACCCCCCCCCTCCACCTCCATTTGTCCCTCCTGACCTGCCTCTTGGCTCCTAAAAGGTCTTGTATTCTACCACAGGTGATCAGTGAAACAGCTGTCAAAGTAAGGTAACCCTTTTTGCCATGGTTACCCCTTTGTATAAAACTCAATCCACATTCACTAGCTCATTGTCTCTGTTCCTCTGAGAGCCACTCAAACTCCTTTTCAACACTGATCACTGACAAACATGTCGATACAAGGCATTCATTGGTGGGAGAATTCTCCAACTACACTTTGACAGCCTGAGCTAATTTTAATTCAGATATAGAGGGTAATCTTCTGTTCCTTTAACCCTTTAAACCCTAAGAGTGATCACCATCTAAGTTCTCCTCACAATACTACTGTTATATCATCTATCAACATTATGAGAAGACAGAGAACAATCGCCAACCCAAGAAGCTTTGATTACTAAATGATTTCTCCTTTTCAGTACCAAAAGAAGTGTACAGAGAAGAGTACAGAGAATATAGATACTGATATCAGGGTGTAAAGGGTTAAACTATTCTCCAGTAAGGTACACTGTACTCTGTTTCTTAATGAAAGCATTATAATACCACACAATCTTAATTTCCACACCAATCTTATAGCAAAGTCAAGCAAAGCTAATACAAGCCTTAAATATTACCTTCTTCTGATTCAGATTCATCAATGTCGGCATATGTGTCATCTCCTGGAGCCTCAGCTGGTTCTGCTGCAACCTATGAAGAGGAGTGTAGCAAGATAATTTATCATGGGAACAAACCCAAAAGTAGACTCAGTAATCCTCACAATTTTATATTTAAACAAATTGACAGTAGTTTAGCATGGTCTGTATTCTTATCAATGACGATATTCATCATTACTCTGCAACAAATTTTTGACCATAGTGATGTCAAATATGGTCGTTAATAAGAGTGCAGACCATGCTAAACCACTGTTGATTTGTTTTTTTACCACAATATGGATGTCAAAATTTCCAAGTCATCTGTGTTTGACAGCTGACAAAGGCATCACCTGACACAGCATTGTCTGTACTCTTATTGACAACAACAAATTGGCCAATCATATTGCAACATTACTTCCCATTGTAATAAAAATACAGAGTGGCCTATGAGCATTCTCCCTTAAATAAAGAGGCATCTTAGGTTAAGGCTGAACAGCCCACTGGTCTGCCTGCCTCAGCTAATCCTAGTTCCATAACCAAGTGGTAAGTAAGGGTACTGACAAACTCAGCTGGGCCTTTTGCATCACTTTTATGCCCTTCCTACATTTATACATCATCTGTGATCTATTGCCGAACAGGTAAAGAGTAACATGAAATCCATCTGCTAAGGGGTACCATTTTAACACACGATGAATCAAAACAGGTGGGAAAACACATGCCTGTGGTGAAACCTGTTTTAACATCAATACCAACAAAAAGACCTCTTTTATCAGTTGGGAGAGCTCTTTGCATCAGTAATATCATAAACTATCATTAAAATTGAATAGTAACATGAAATCCATCTGCTAAGGGGTACCATTTTAACACAAGATGAATCAAAACAGGTGGGAAAACGCATGCCTGTGGTGAAACCTGTTTTAACATCAATACCAATAAAAAGACCTCTTTTATCAGTTGGGAGAGCTCTTTGCATCAGTAATATCATAAACTATCATTAAAATTGAATAGTACCCAAATACAATTAAAATCAAACAAACTAGAAACAGATGTCTCCAAGCATAAGTACCTCCCCACCATCATCACCACCCTCAAACAGCTGGTTTGCAATCGCTTCTCGCTCTTTCACGGCAGCATTTCCAGCCAACTGATCTTCCTCTTCTTCATCAGAATCGAGCACTTTTATTTTTTTCAAACGAGGCTTTTTCTAAAAAATGAAACAAATATTTCATTTCACAATCAATCAAACACCACAACGAAATATTTACTGCTTAAAAAATATCCAAAAGGTCAAAAGAGAAGTGATTAAATCGAACACAAAATTGAATATTTTCGTCGAATCAATGATCGTCGGATGACAAACAAATAAAGGAAGCTTACAGTGTTTAGCTATTGAACAGGTAAATTAATTAATTGAATTTTTCACTTCTCAGGAGAGAGATGGTTAAAAAACTAAGCTGTGGTATTCTTACCCGCTTAATACTGATGCCAAGATTCTCCTCGATCAAAGACAAATCTTCCTCATCGAGCTCCTCTGCCTCATCTGCTAGAAAACATGAAGAGAAACTTCGAATACGCCGAAAACCTTCCTTTAAAAGAAAGCTGACGAATTCTTATTCGTTAACTTAATTTGCTTTTCTACCTTTCCTTCGTTTCCTATGATGGTGTCCGTGATGACCCTGCTCTTCTTCTCCAGCGCTTTCTTCAACTTCATCGTTTATGATGTCGTTCTCGTCATCTGCCTGTTCCTCTTCTTCTCCTTCTTCTTCGTCTTCATCTTCATCGTCGTCACTTTTCTCTGACAAACTTTCATCTAAGGAGTCTTCCTCCGCTTCGCTGTCGCCAAATTTTGACATAACGAAGGGTCGAGCAACAAATCAACTGACGAAAAGAAGATAACACGAGGATTGCAAGCAACGAGAGAAGAAGTTGACAAAATGGCTGACTGGCAATAGGGTGGGAGCTGGGCTCGAAGATCTGTACCAGTCTTCCTCGTCTACATGAGCCCAGATGGTCATCGACAATTTTATCTTTTTTTTTTAATATTTTTTTTGCAATGTGTCCTTAAAAGACTAAGAAAAGAACCTCCTCATCCTGAGAGGAGAGCTAATATAACCGTCTGTGTTTGAAACAGCGTGCTACAAATAAGCTACCTCTCTCTCTCTCTCTACCCCAGGCCTTATGGACTGTCCTAGTATAATTTTCGGCATGATTTGGAAAAACGAGTATAATTTTTGCTCTTTTTAGAAGTTTCACTGCCAGCATGGTCAGCGGATTTTTAATTTTTTTTTCACAAGAGAAAATTTTCAGAGTTATGACTTTTTGCTCTCTAAGATTGATTATTTTTAAGTTTGATCCGTGGTTCAGTCTATTTTCAAGTTTTTGAAATGTCTTGAAGAAAGAAGGTTACCGCAAAACTGAGTTTTTCTTCCGTCTGGAGAACTGGGCACACCGGAAATAAAGATTGCGTCTGTCACAGTTCCCACTTTCAAGGACAACAAAAGGGTGTCAAAGAGAAACGTGATTCCATAAACAATGTATAGTTTGCAGGGGCTTAGCCAGGATTTTTCAAAGGGGGGTCACACTTTGTCAAACAAAGGGTACTCACCGCAGTTTTCACCACCTGAATGTTGTAGGTCGTTTGCTCAAAGGCATACAAATAGGGGTTCACAGGCACCTCAGTCAGTGATTTTCATGAAAAAAGAAGTGTCATCGTGCAAGATGAGTAATGTCATCTTTGAAATAAATGTGATAAATATTACGTGGAAATATTATTTTATTAAAAAAAAATTGGACGGTCAACACCTCTCTTTGGTATGCGAATTATGTATTCTGCAACTCCTAAGCATTAAGGACACGATGACTTCCCTGTGAGTGGTGGTGATGGTCCATTCTCCCCTTGCTTGCTCGTGTAGCTCTAAAGATCGAAGGATTCGCCCAATCTTTCCTTCCCTTAGAGCCAGCCGCAATTTTATGGAGCATTTTTCTTTCATTTTTTCATTTTTTTGTTTGTTCAACAAGTGTGTAGCGAGAGATCATTCCTTGTATTCAGCCATTTTGTTTGACTATGTAACAATCGATGGGAAAGGGACTGGACAGGGGGATCGAAGTACTCATTTGGTTGAAGAGAAAGTGAATATACCCTAAATAAGGTCCAAAGCTTTTTATTCAAAACTCTTTGGGTCTGAACACTTATCGAATACAGCAAATAATGGGTCTGGGGGAAAAGTTTAAACAAAACTGAAATCTTAAAGAGTCCAGTTGAAACTGTATTGCTTAAGTTTTACTGGTAGCCAGTACATGAAATCATCTTGTTAGACCCCTTTAAAAACGGTTTCGTAGAAATAATTTGTATCTAGAAGATCCCTTTGCACACTAACTAATATATTTTCGGAAAAAAATCGGGAAAGTAGTTAATTGTACAATGCATTTCTGACAAGTAACTTAAGAGCCTGTCCACGAGAGCACCGGGCAGTCGTGCTACATGCCATCTCACCGATTTCAATGAAACTCTGCCAGTTTAAAGGTTCTACCTCAAAACTCAAAAAGACAAACCGGTTTCTGTTTTGGTTTTTTCCGGGGGGAGATAGATCGTAACTCTCCAATTTCTTGATGGTGGAAAGTGGAAAAAACATTTTCCAGTCTTATTTTCTGGAAACATGACGCAGTTACAATGAATTTTATGGGGATATTGATATTTCCTATCAAATAAGGGGGGCAGAGTTTCCCGTCATCCGCGGTATGGAAAAGCCGAAGTTGTTACACACAAGAACTTGTACGTTAACAAGCACGCGACATGACTTTAAAATCTCCTCTCCTGTTGCAGTTTCCTTATTATTTGTACGATAATGATAATAGACGATCAAATTATAGGCTAATGAATGTTTTGTTCTGTAACAAGAGCCCTATTTCCTGATTTTAGCAAATCTCCAAAGTAATAAACGACAAGAGAAAGAAACGCTACGATTTTCTCTACGATTTTTCGCCCACATGCATCTCTCAAAACGTGAAATTTTCCATTCCTACAAAAAATCTCGAAAGTTTTTCACATTTTTCACTTTTCTTGATCAATCATCTTGTATAAAGAGCCAAAAAATGTGGTTTATTTGGTCAAGCGACCGCCTAAAGCAAGAATTGCGTGACAGGTGTAGTTGAGAGAAACTTGTCACAGTCGCAGATTTTAAAAGGCATCCAAGACAAAAATACGGTAGCGCCCAAATATTTTTTTGATGATTTTCAGAGATGAAATAATGGGTTATAAAGGGGAATCAAGATTAGTGTTGTAGCTTTCTGGCAAGGGGAGATATTTGACCTCAAAGTTGTCAAATATTTGGATGATCGCAGTGAGAGCTTCATATATTTTACCTATTTTGAAGCGATTTCCTTGGTGAAAACCAAGAAAAACCGGGGGAGTGGTCTATCTCCCGCCGGAAAAAACCAAAACAGAAACCGGTTTGTCTTTTTGAGTTTTGAGGTAGAACCTTTAAACTGGCAAAGTTTCATTGAAATCGGTGAGATGGCATGTAGCACGACTGCCCGGTGCTCTCGTGGACAGGCTCTTAACAAGTTGTCTGCATTCTATTATTGGTGGTATATATCTGGACCCTCATGGCCAGGGAAAGGCCTATGATTTTCCTTTAAAGATGAAAGCTTACCTTGGAAACTCACCAAAGCATTTCGTTGTGCAAGCAAGGAAACTTCTTCACGCACCAAAAATGCCCCTTGAGATGGTATCTCTCACATCTAATACTAAAGCATGCATTGAAGAATATTTACCAACATAACTTTAGCTAATTAATAATTTTTGTAACGCCAACGAGGCATTGATATTTGGTTGATAGAGGTACTTTTAAAGAAGGATATATAGTTTTTACATTTGAATGCATTTAACACATAATACAACATGCTTGTCATCAATAACATTAAATTATGTTTTTATATGAAACTGAATGTGCTCAGAGGTGCTTTTAAGTTACCATTTTGATTGATATTTATTTCCCCTGGTTTTCAGCTTTTGAAAGGTAGCAGAATTTGAAGTGAATAAAAGTCAAAGATATATAAAAGTCAAGCCAAATAGAAGTTGTGCAGCAATGCCTCCCCTGTTGTTAGTGAAGGAGAGAAATAAGTTGGGTTTCGTTCATTTTGCAGAGTCCTTTCTTCCTCTGTATTTCTTTGCAAATCCCTCATTTCATGTATCAGCTTTTGCGTTCCTTCCTCTAGATCATTAAAATTTTTCTTTCAGTCTGAAAGCTCATCTCTTGTGAGATGAAGGTCCCTTTCCGCTCCCTCAATAGACACTAGTTCACTGTATAGAATGCTTAAAGTGAGATATTTTGACTGAAGCTGTTCTCTTTTTCTTCCTTTAGTTTGCCCATATTTGCTTGCCACAACTCTTGCTTCTCTTTCTAGCCTGCCTTGGATAGGGTAGCCTGTCTCTCAACTAACTCTAAACCATGATCTGGAAACTGTGGCATTGAGAAAGTCAATATAATCACATCCATCCTGAATATTTTCATGCCATATCTTTAGTAATAGCTATGATATATTTACTGCCTGTTTAATATATGATAAAGTTGGATCTGGGACAAAGATTTTCCATTCATAGCTTCTCTTCATGTACCTTGAATTTACATCTGACATTGCTGTAATGTATTTTGGGTTTCTTATATTTTATGTGAAGGAAATCTGCATTTCTGAAATCAAATTTACAAGTGTGTAAATCTAGGCTTTCCATAACAAGTCCCAGTTCCTTGATGTATTAGAACGCACGTGTCTGATGAACGGTTCATTCAACAGGGTCGGCCAGGGGGGGTAGTGGAATACCAATGTACCCGAAAAAAAATCGATAAAATATCCCAAAATACCCCAAATTCCTCCAAATATACCCAAAAATAATCGAAGCTTTGAATACATACCCCGTTAATGGGCAAAGTCATTTATCTAATTCTTTTTCCAATGTCAGCGATGTAGACTGCACCACAAGGAATACAGTAATTCACGCCATCTTATTTAAGCAGATTGATGGTTATAAAATGTTCTTAGAAATTTTTGTCATCTGTTGTTTTATACGCAGAAACATTGTCTGGTCCTAAATAAAAAATAGAGGTTGAAGTGCGATTGTGCTTAATTCGCTCAATAATATACAAAGTCACATGCCGTTGCTGTCATTCTTTTGCTTCTTTTGGGTCTGTTGCTTTCATACTCTCTTTCATCCAAATCATCCTCAGCGTCAATTTCCGGTTCTTCAAAAGGGAGAACATTGTCTTCCGATGCGTGTAACGACGCTAAGCAAATGTAATAATCGTTTTCGGTAATCTCAACAGTGTCATCTGCAATCAAAGTAACATGAATAGTTCCTTTTATGCCATCTTTCGAAACTGTGTACTCTTTCCCAGTCGTTGTGAACAAAAGGGGGTCGACCAAGTCCTGTGCATACCACTCCGTTCTAACATGTGCAAAATGGTCGTCATCTGGCAAGTCTTCAAGAAGTTTTACAATGTAAAACGTGCTTGTTGGCAAAGAACCTGGTCTACAGATATGTGGAAACAACACGAATGTTCCGTTTGGATGCAGAATTTCTATGTCTGCTCTGTCTTAGCCAGAATCTTCCCTTTCATTGTTGCCATCTGTGCTTGACTCACCCAGTAGTGCAGTGAAGTCTACAGTGTTCTCCTTGGGAGGCGAGGCTTCATAGACGTTCAACGGAAGTGTTCCAGGTTTGTCTTTGGTTGAGAAATTTCTTGTCGTGTTTTGACGGACACTTTTTCCATTGATTGACGCCCACTGTCGAAGCTCAGTGATCTGCTTTGGTGCTAAGGAACCCTTACTTGGCTTCGGTAGCTTCGCTAATTCCGAGAACTGGATGAGAACATCTTTCATGGAGGGCTGCAAATAGTAGGAAGCCTTTGGATTAGTAAAGTAGTTAAATGGATTCTTCGTT